ATGGCCCTGTTGCTCGCCCTGGATCACCCCCTCGGTTGAAGAGCGTTTAATATCAGCTCGTTTGTAGTGAGCTATGTATTTCCTGATTTCCATTTACATGAAACAAATACAAATTAAACTACTCTTTATACCTGTCGAATGTTTCAAATTTATGTCTTGATTAAACTCTACATACATCAGTTTCTGTAATCGCACTAAAGGGAAATATTGGTTTGTTCTTAACAGATCAGTAGTCATGGCAGACAGTAGAATTTCTGGAAGTGATAATATGTTTGAACACACCACCGCTGCATCGACTGCATCACTTATCTATGCTGTCCCCGATAATTTAATACGGACGATTTTGCAACATCTGAGTGCGTCTGACCTGTGTCACGTGGCATCATGCTGCTGTTGGCTACGCAATGCAACCAATCAGGATTCATTATGGCGCCCTCTTTGTCAAAGCAAAGGATGGGAGCACTACGGCACAACCACAGACCTTGCCAAGATAGCCTCCTACGGACCTTCCGAGCAAGCAGACGGCGCTAGTGGAGCAGGGGACGACATCGTCACCTTCCAGAAAGATAGGATCGTTACTGATGACAACACAGCGGGTTTAACTAGCACTTGCAGGTGGAAAGGCGTCTTCATGAGAGCTTACCATCTAGATAGAAACTGGGCTACAAATTTCTCTCATTTCAAGGAGATTTGCCTTGGTTCTAAAGAAGAACCCCATCGTAAACGCTGCAGGGTTCGTGTCGATGGGGATTATCTAGCATTTAACGTCGTTCTTGACGCAATTCGGGTCTATGACATTCGGAAGAAGACCCTTCAATGTGTTATTCCTTCTATGGAAACAAGGGAGACTTGGCCACCGGACGGAAGCAATTACGAGTTCAGAGATGGCGTCATTGTGACGCCTTATAGTGGTAGGCCACTATATGTGTTTGATGCAATGACAGGGAAGCAGCTGCACAAGATAAACGGAAACTGGGGCCATAGCCATGTGTCACTGTTCTTTGATGGTGAACTGATCATCACCTATGTGCAGACTGATAAGAGGGAAAACAATGAGAAGTTCCGTGATATTCACGTGTGGTGTGTTACAGACGGCCAACTTCAACGCATCCTAAAAGTGGACCAAACAGACGGTGTCTGCGTTTGTTATAACGTGGACTATCGGAACAAGATGGTAGCGGCTGTCTATGATGATGACTACATTCGCTTGTGGGATGCGAGGAGCGGAGAATGTTTGCATAAATTAGAGTGCCCAGGGGAAAAGTCCCAGGTCAAACTCGGCGATAATGTTATCGTTGGTTTCAGCAAGACAGTCGACATGAGAGTGTGCGTTATTATTATTTGGAGCCAAGACACGGGAGAGTGTCAAAAGGTGATACGTGAAGTACCATCAAACAGTTATCACAGACACCTGGTCGTGAATAATTTAATTCTGTTACCGGGTAAGAGAGACTCCACACCTGACGACCCGATTTTTTCCCTGTACGTTTACAATCTACGTACAGAATCGGTAACAGAGATGGTGAATTATTCCATCACTGATGAAGGAAATGGGAGCAAGCGCGTCTACATTGCATTTGACAAGACGGTGCAAGGAAGAGTGAAAACATGGAAAAGGGTCGTCTACAACGCCACTCCAAATGGCTTGGTACGACTCTTTGATATTGATCAAACCTATATCATCTGGATTGACGAAATCAGAAAAATCTTGTATGACGAAAAAGAACGAAGACTTATTTTTCATCATTACTGGTAAGCCAGTGCCGACACATCCATTTAAGGAATCTACATCAATAATCTTCCCTCAATAATTCTCACATACATGCACATTGACAATAATACCGTGTCACAACGGAGCTCTGTCCAATTGTGTACTACACAATGGACCACAACACCATGAACTCAAGGCATAACTGAGTAAAAAGCGATGGGAATTTTTTTTCTAGAAGATACGCGTTTTTTTTTGTTAAATCGTTTTCATCGCTCAAAGCCCAGATCTGCAATTTTCATTTGGACATGCCAAACGAATACTCCTAGAATTCTATTTAAGTTTTTTTTCTCTCTCTCTTTTGACTTGTTTATAATTGCATACATGAAGGCACTGCTGTAGATTTCTCGTCACGAGCGAAGCGATTGTAAGAGGTTTTGTCCCTGCTACAAGCTTGTATTTTAACACATCGTGTAGCTGCACATTCGCCCATTAATCCTGTTTTACTACCACAACAAAAGGGAACTGAGAATGAAGGGTCAAGTTTATTTTAAGTCTAAGTATATTCATCCTTGGATCACATTAGTTTTTTTAAACTGTAAGAGTTATCGTTTAAATATCGTACATCCGACCACTTCGTAACCAAATTCCCATCAAAAAGCAGAATTTGTAAATCTGCGGCTGGACAATTATAGACCATGTGACATTAAATTGCATGTAGACGTCGCATGATACCAACTTCCAGTAAATTTGTTTTCTTCTGCACTGTATGTATATCTCCTGAAAATATGAAAGGTTTGAAAGTGATGACTTAAAGTGTTTATATCGGACCAAACATTATGCAAAATGAGCTTAACTGTTTGGGTTGCCCTGCGTTTGCCTGTCAGCATGACGTCACTGGGCCTTGGTCTTTACCTAGATACGTTCTAAGCATTATATATTGAGAAATGATTTTAAACGATTGATGTTTTCTTTACAGTAGGCCCCTAATATATCTCAGTAAAAAGCTATGATAATGACATGGAACCGAACGCAAATAGCCAAAAAAAATTGCAGTTTTGAACTGTGTCTCCTTAAAACTTTGAATATGATTAGTGGAGATAATCGTTTGCACATGTACATAAATGTTGAGCAATTTGATGAATTAAGCATCTCCTATGATGTAGTTTGAATAACGTACTTTTATTTCGAGAATTTTCACGTATATAATTTTAGGTAATGCAAAATGTATCTTTTTCAGTAGTTGATTTTGCATATTTTTTTTTGTCTACAACCTACTTCGGGCATGCAACTTGATTAACACCTAACATGTTAATCTGATTTCATGTCACCAATGTCACTCTTGGAACTTTTACACTGGCATAAATAGGTAAGAGATGACAATGTAATATAAGCAATATTCATACATATTGAGTTACCCGTATAATAGGTCAACTCTTATGGAAATGGGCTGGTCTGTATTAACGTCCAATGAGCCATGACTGAAACTGTGGATCGACCGGAACAGTTTTATTTCTATAATGTCTAAAATTCCCAATTTCTATCTCAAATGCATTTTACGAATGCACTACTGATTGCCAATCACCGAAGTTTAAGATAGATTTGTAAATAAGATGGAAGTGTTTGAAATTTAGGCTCTGGTATATTTCAGGCCTTATGATCTGTAGTTACCACATTGTTCTCTTGTTTGTGTTCATTAACTGCTGACTTACACACCCAACTAAAGACATTCCAAAATCGATAACAAAATCCACAAAAACACAATAATATCCTAAATCAGAGGTGTGCCCATTTGCAGCGGACACACTGTTAGTAGAAGACACACGGGTTTGAACCATTATGTTCTTATCATACAAAGGACTTCCATTTCTATTCCCTCAACCAATTTAATATTCCTAGAATTATGTTTGTTTGTTTTCTTTTCTCACATTTATAACTGGACATTAAATAATTAAAAATGTGAATTTATAAAGCTGTGCCTATTATATAAACAGATTTTAACCTTTCATATTCATATAAAACATTATCCTACAAACGATTGAACAATTCCTACGTCCCCCAGAAGTCGTGAGAAAGTGGTTAATTGAAGCATGTATATACTGCAAATATAGAGTGAAAGTAAAATGTTTAAATGTAAATGAGTACGGTACTGCTTACAATGTAACTGCTTTGAATTAACATTTCCCAATCAAGTTTATGTAGTCCTACATGGAAACAAACTCATATATTAAAAATAACGCTGAACGTTCGTTTTAAAATGTTCCGTTTGCCATATTTATTGGAATATGACGGATGTAGCAAATATATTTTTTCCCTCATTTTTTAAATGTATTTTAAATCATTGTTTAGTTATGCTGGACAATAATGTAACCTAACAGGCATCTCCTGAGACATAATTTGACGTAGTTAGATTCAGCTTATTCTGGCACAGATAGATTAAGGTAGAGCCAAAGTTATTTTTGTCAGTAGATAACCTTAAGAATTTTTTTTTGAGGCTTTGCATGGTGGAGATACTAAATAATGAAACTCTCCTGAAGACGGTCAGAGCATACTGACCGGAACGTCGAGTTTATACCTCTGGTTCTTTTGAGAACCATTTTCTTAGCTGAGAAATTATTTGCACATGGTGTTTCCGCAAACCTTTCATTATTTAGTAGATGACTTTACTCATTTATCGACCCCTTACATAGTGGTATGCAAATTCGATAGGCTCTTACAGTGTTTCATATTACATGTGATGATGTATATGTAGTGAATGTCGAAATATTGTTTAATTAATGCCACCTGGTTGTCTGTGAGTAAACTGATATGTTGGTTGCAAACACACATCTAAATTATTTTTTTCGTATTATTCTGTGCACATTGTCAGGGATAATTCTGGAGGAGTATGTATGCAAGAATTATATGCGTCTTTCGGTTTCAATGTAAATTCTGCGGTCTGGTTTATCCACACCTTGTGTACATGTTTATGTGGACCACACAGTGAATGTAATGCCGACCCAAATCCACACGCGTTTGTTTACGGTATATTTTGATTTTTCTGTTCCCCTTCCCTTTCCCTTTGTTTATACTTGTTTTCTAATCTAGGTAGTTCTCGATTTGGTCCCTTTCTTCGATTCACCGATGATGCTGCACGTGTGTTTCCTCGATTTACACCATAAATAGAAACTCACACCCAATCAAGCCGAAGCCACAAAGTTTCACTCAATTTCGTGAAAGGCAGTGGTCGGGGTCAGGCGTCTCGGTTCGGTCACACGGGTTCTCTGATCGAGCTGTGTGAGCTATATACGTTTCGAATATTGTAAGTATATTCAGCCCTTGTGCACCAGTGATGTGTATTCAACGAATGCTTTCTCCCTGAATTTAACCTGAAAGAAGCTGCTGTACTCATGCAGGGATATAGGCCTAGTCCATCGCAACCATTACACCTGAACTCGCAGTGCCGTGTACAAGTGCATGCAGCATAATTACAGTACATGTACTGCGAATGTCTGCGTACGCCATGTTGAAAATCCCCATAATGCTTATGACCGTAGTCTGTATGAAGCTACTGTTGACACGCACGTACAGTACTTGCATCAGCACGTAGTCATCTGTGTGACCAGGAAAACACTTGAATAAGACATGTAAGTAGTTTTGATTTGGCATTAGCAAAACAAATAAAAAAAAGTAGGAGCTGCATCTGTCTGAAACGAGGGATTCAACAAGGTGTTTTTAAAGTGACTTTAGCTTTGGAAATCCCAGTCCTATATTGCTAGACATTACAAATTCTCAGTGGCTAGTGTATGCATGGTGAGCATAACGTTCTAGAATGATTAGGTAGGTCAACAGAAATTGCTGCTCGGATTATCCCTTTCATGACCGGATATTCTTAGTTTTATCAAAACAGCAGGGGCTAGAGACATTTTGTTTTGTTCAGATGAATCTACTTTGGATTCAATCATGTAACTGCCGATAATGAACGGGCTAAATAATATAATTAAGAAATTTATATAGACAAGTGTGGACATGGATTTTCATAATTGGTTATGATCCAAAGCACCAGTTAGCTTGGCAGGTAGATTATTATAGCCCTAGCTAGAGATGATATTATGACTGAGGCATGGGTGACACCTTGAATTAATTTGAGAAGGGGGCCTAATTTGCATAAATCGTAAATAGCCGTCATGTACTACATTTACCTTGTTGTTGTTGTTGTGGTTGTTGTGGTTGTTGTGGTTGTTGTGGTTGTTGTGGTTGTTGTGGTTGTTGTGGTTGTTGTGGTTGTTGTGGTTGTTGTGGTTGTTGTTGTTGTTTTTGGTTTTTTTCATGGAAATTCTGAATTGGGATTCTACTCAAATGTCCTACTTACATATTTTCTTAAGTATCTTCCTAGAGAGCTATAAGAATCTATTTCCCAAGTTTGGTGCTTTGGTAGTTTGGACTAGTCGATTATTAGATCACTTGAAAATGCTGTGTGGTTTTATGTGAATACTTCGATCCTTATCATTGTATAGGTTTCCACGGAATCTTAATGAGTTGTCTGTGTCATATTTAACCCCAAACCAATATTACAGCAACTGTCTACAAATTTTGTGCCAATCGACTAAGACGTATCGGAGTAAATATTTTTATTATATATGTTATGGTTGTCCTTGGTGCTGAAACAGTAAATCATAGTAGAATAATATCAAGAGATATAACATGTGTTCAAATAGATCAGTGAAATGAGATGATTAGCTAGATCCCGGTGCGATTAACATTGTTCCTCTTCATTGTTCCACATCACCTAATTTGCAGTGAAGATTAATTAAGATGCATGTTCTGCTTTCCACGTGCATGAAATTCTTTTAGAGTATAGAAGAATCATTGAAACACAATTTATCATATCACAAGTGTAATGACTACTCTTTATACCTGATGTGCGTTTGAAATTGATCTTTCAGATCAGTTCCTTGAGTTGCACTAAACAAGAATTGTTTTTTTCTCCAGATATCTGTAATGGCAGACAGTAAAATTCCTGGAAGTGGTAGCATGTGTGAATACACCGCCACTTCTTCGACTGAATCTCTTATCAATGCTGTCCCCGATGACTTAATACAGACGATTTTACAACGCCTCAGTGCATCTGACTTGTGCCACTTGGCATCGTGCTGCCACTGGCTGCGCGATATAGCCAATCAGGATTCATTATGGCGCCCTCTTTGTCAAAGCAGAGGATGGGAGCACTACTGCACTATCACAGACCTGGCCAAGATAGCTTCATACGGACCTTCCAAGCAAGCAACTGGCGCTAAAAAAAGGTCACATCAGCGTCACCTTCGAGAAAGATTGGATCCTGACTGATGAAAACACAGCGGGTTTAACCAGCACTTGCAGGTGGAAAGGCGTCTACATGAGAGCTTACCATCTGGATAGGAACTGGGCTACAAATTGCTTTCATTCCAAGGGGTTTACCTTGGGCTGGAAAAAGCCAAATGACTATCACCGCATTGTTCGTGTCGATGGGGATCTCTTGGCAATTGACAACGAATTCACAACCCCTCAGTCAATCAAGGTCTATGACATTCGGAGAAGGACCCTTCAGTGTGTTATTGCTCCTGTCGAATCAACGATCGCACCGGTAGCTGGCGGAATCAAGTTCACAGATGGCGTAATTGTGGTGCCTTGTCTTGGTGGGGTGGCCTGTGCGTTTGATGCAAGGACAGGGAAGCTTCTGCAAAAGATAGACTTACACTTGGGCAGTAGATATATGTTGTTATTCTTTGACGGTGAACTGGTCATCACCTATGAGTGTGCTGCTAATAAGAGGGAAAACAATGAAAAGTTTTGTGACATTTACGTGTCGTGTGTCAAAGACGGCCAACTTCAACGCACACTAACAGTGGATCTTACAGACGGGGTCAAAGTTTGTTATTATAACGTGGACTATCGGGACAAGATGGTGGCGGCTGTCTACAATGATGACTACATTCGCGTGTGGGATGCGAGGAGCGGAGAGTGTTTGCATCAACTTAAATGCCCAGGGGAAGAGTCAAAGGTCAAACTCGGCGATAATGTTATTGTTGGTTTCAGCAAGGCATTCGACATGGAAGTGTGCGATATTATTATTTGGAGCCAGGACACTGGAGAGTGTCAAAAAGTGATACGTGAAGTACCATCGCATAGGTATGTGCGCCCTTATGCATATGTCCTGAATAATTTGATAATATATTATGATCAGATCTCCGGGCCTGGCGATCATTTTTATTTCATGTACGTTTACAATCTACGTAAAGAATCGGGAATGGAGAAGGTGCATCATTGCGGCGATCCTCGCCGAAACGAAACAAAGAGCGTCTACATTGTATTAGAGGAGCCAGAGTACCGGTGTGAGAAAGCATGGCCAAGTGCCGTCTGCAACGCCACTCCAAATGGCTTGGTACGGCTCTTTGATGCTGGTACTAACCATATCATCTGGATTGACGACATCAGAATGATCCTCATTGACAATAAAAAACACAAACTGCGTGTCCATCATTACTGGTAAAGCAGTGGTGACACCCAACCAATTCGACCTTTACAAACTGAAGTATTATCACCGTAAACACAGCTATCATGTCAAACCACAGCTCCGTCCAACTGTTTAGTACACAATGGACCATGACACACTGAACCCAGACATAACTGAGTCAACAGCGATGGGAAAAATATATTACTACAGGACACTTGTGATTTGTTGGTTTTGTTTAACCATTTTCGAATATTACATCCTAAACGTGCCATTTCCATCCCTTTTGACATTTGAAGGTTATATTCCTAGAATTCTGTTCAAGGCGGTTTTTTCTCTTTGCATTGTTTTTTATTATTGCATACACAAACACCTTTCTGTAGATTTCTCATCACGACCCTAGACGTTGTTTCTGAAACCAGCTTTAATTTTAGCACATCGTGTGGTTGGACATTGAAGAGAATGAAGAGTCAAGTGGACGAAGTATTAGTCATCCTTGTATCACATCAGTTTTGTATACACTGTAGTGTTAAGAGTTCTTTCACTCGGGAGGTCACACACTGAGTATACGGTGTTTATACGTCGGTGAAGGGCAAACCCTAATGTGATGTTAGAGTTCTCATTTTGTTTCTGTTGTTCCGCACATAATGTAGCCAAGTTCGCGCAAACAGTGCGTTATTTTTAATAAGTCACTCATGAATCTTCTTGCACAAAAATTAAGAGAAAAACTCAATTGAATAGCTTTATATGTAAATACGCGCCTGTACGTCAACCTGGTTTAGCATTTCAAATGCAAATGAATATTATAGGCTATACGTGACATTTCTTTACAAAACTGCATGATGTGGTCACGTGAAGCCTGCTTTCAGCACACGGTTCTCTTCTGTACCACATATTACAAGAAGTGTGAATGGCTTGGAAGTGTTGACATGTACTGTTTCATTTTGGTCAAATAACATCCCAAATATCCTCAAGCCTTTGGGTTACGCGGTGGTTTTCAGTCTGCATGAAGTCACAGGGCACGTTGTGTTTACATTCTTAATATATACAGGGCGTATCAAAAAAAAAGTCATCCAAAATCAATCGGCCAATACGCACAAGTTAGGAAATTGTTGACTATTAAACTGATTCTGTCTTAAATGGCTTTTCATTAGCTTTCAATTGATACCATAATTACACCTTTCCAGTCACAGATGACTGAGCACCATTGATTGCAATGCAAAGGGACAAAACTTCGTTTTCAAAGTTTGCTGAATATATATAAGTAGTGAGTTAAGCTTTCGCAAGAATGCGCTGTCACTGTGGACTGTGCGTTAAAAGGGTATGTCAGAGAAAGTTGTTGCATAAAATGGTACATGATAATGTTGTCCAAGAATGATTGATCATTCCAGCAATTGTGTCTATCGTCAACAACACCTACTCTTTCAAAGTCTGCCTGATTTAATGGCAAATTGAGCTGTCAAACAAGAGGAAGTCGAAGGGAATTATGGGTTGAGTGTGAGGAGAGAGACAATCATTTCAAATATTGTTTTGTTTACTCATTAAAATAGTAACTACCTAATGCAAAAGTGTACTCAAATCCTATCAGCTTGTTCGTTTGCCCAACTTGACATGGCTTTGGCTATGCCTAGTTTGTGGTGAAAAATCTTTTGAATAATTTGTAATTGATGGACAACATAAGGTACCATTTGAAGCAACAACATCTTCATCACACCCTTTTTAACGCACTGTCTATAGCTTCCACAGTGCACTCTTCTGATAGCTTAACTCACCACATATGTAATTTCAGTAAACAAGAAAACAGAGGGTTGCTTGCCTTTGTTTTGCAAGCAATGGTGCTCAGTCATTTTGACCGAATGTGTAATTATGGTATCAATTGAAAGCCAATAAACTACCCTTTAAGATGAAACGTGGGGTGAGATGGCCGAGCGGTTAAGAACACTGGACTCATGCTCTGGTGTTTCAGAGGCAACATTGGCGTGGGTTCAAGCCCGGGCCGGGACACTTGTGCCCTTGAGCAAGGCACTTAACCATTATTGCTTCGTCCTTCGGATGGGACGTAAAGCTGTAGGTCCCGTGTGTTGTATAAATGCACGTAAAAGAAGCCAGCAAACACTTATCGCTAAGAGAAGGGGTTCGGCCCGGTGTTTCTGGCAGATATCCTCATACATACACCATATGAGGCTGTACGCGATAGCCACACCAGGCGTTTGTACAGAAGCTAACAGATACAGAAATCACTTCAACAGTTTACGATTGTCTAACTTGTTAAATTCGATTTTCATGATCCATGTGATTTTGGACTACTTTTTATAAACCCTGCAGTGATTGTAAATGTTGCGTGCAACTGAACAACAATTTCTAAATGAGTGGTTTGTTTTCATTGTCCAGTAGTATATCTCAGTAACTGCTTATCCAACGGGCATGAACATGCAACAAAGTAAAAAGCAAAACAATAATTTGCGTCTCCACAGATATTTTAATAAAGGTTACTGGTGTGGAGAGAATTGTTGGTACATATATTTCAATTCTGAACAATGTGAGTAATGAAGCAACTGCTTGAAAACATTTTGAATTGCATACTTTTGACTTGGATTTATATATAATTAAGGTAAAGCAAGATGTATTTTTCAGTATTTGATATTGCACATTAATTTTTGTCGATATACTTAGTTCAGGCGTGTAGTTTTATTGACACATAACATGTATCGTTATTGATTGTTGAAAACATTATTTCCCAATGTAAGTCTTTGAGGCTATAGGTTTTCCCTTAAAAAGAGAAGGGTTGATTTCTTTTAATTGTAAGATATATCCATGTATGATGAGTGACCTTTATGATATCTCAACTCGTTTGAGAATGGGCTGGATTGTATTGAAGTCCAATGAGCCATGACTAAAACTTGTGGTTAAGTCAGAGCAGTTTATTCTTAATGTTCAAAATCAAACTCAATTATGGCATTGATGTACCAAAACAGTTAGTCTTTCTTGTGTGAATTTTTTTGTTGGATTCGGTTCAGTGTTTTGAAACAAAGGCCGTTAATGTACCATGTAAGGGTCATTGCGTTTAAACAGTGATATTCTTTGAACAGATTTTGCAATTTCAGTATTTCTTTTATCTTAAAGTAGTTTCTGAAATTGGCTTTCTAGTCATTATTGGTTTTGGTGCTACAATTTTTTTTTTTTGGGGGGGGGTTGCGTTCCGTTTTTTTGACTCATACTGTATAATACAGTTCTCAGCCAATCACAGTTTAAGGATGGGTTTGTGAATAAAGTCTGTGAAATTTAAAGTCAGTTAGATTTAAGGCCTCTTCAAGCTCAGATTTCTAACCCCCCCCCCCTCTAAGGCATGTCAATCTTATATTTCTAGAATGGTGTTCTATATTTTTTATACAATAGGTTTAAAAGGCAAAAATTTAAAAGGCAAATGTGTAAATCAGTGCCTACTATTGGAACAGGTTTCGATATTTTAATAGAGCGATCCTAACTATGCCTACGACACACAAGTCTTGAGAGAGTGGTTATGAAACATGTATACTGTTAACAAAGATGTTTCAAGTGGGTGCTGCTCTCGCTGTAAAATAACATTTCACATACAGTGAATCATATTCATGTAGGCCCACATTGAAACAAAGTCCATTAAAAAATATCCGCTCAATGTTCGTTTAAGCAAATGTCCGTCTTCCCAGACATTGGAATATTATAAATGGAGAAATGACGTTCCGTGCATGAATTTTGAAATCACTGCTTACTTAGGTTGAACAATAACGGACTAAATAGGCATCTCTGTGGACATAATTTGAAGTGCAGTTACATTCAGATCATCCTGAATTCTTTAAGAATTAAATTAAAGTAAAGCTTAAATTATTTTTTTTTTCAGACATTTGGAGGCCTTTATCTAGTTGAGAGGCTTTAATAGCCGGCCGCCGCACGAGGGCGCTATCACGACCAACCAATATCGCCAACGAACCCTTCAGAACAACGTCGAGATCACTATTAAATCTTCTGTGCGCATGCGCCCCTTCTGCAGGCAATTACTGTCCATTTTCAGTCCCACATACTACACACAACAAAAGAGCTGAGCAGTGAAATGGCACAAAAGTCTTGCTGCAGCTTTTAACCTACTGGAAACAAATTGAGAGTTTTTATGATTTTTTTTTTCAATTGCGCGCTGCATTTATTAGGCCAAGCAAGTGCACGCGCATTACACAACCAATAGCAAGTGATCTAAACGTTGTTCTGACGGGTTCGTGGGCGATATTGGTTGGTCGTGATAGCGCCGTCGCGCGGCGGCCGGTTATCGCGGCGGCGCGGCGGGCTTAAACGCTATCGCGTATAAACAGTAACAACGTCCAGCCTCTAGACTAGTCTTTATCCAGAGATCCCAACGTGCCAAAACACAATAACGTCTTTTCAACAACACTTTTGTTGGCCGGGTTGTTTTTACAGCGTCCAAATGAACACATTGTCGGAGATAGTTTCCACGTTTGATTCGAGGGCCAGGGTTTTTTTTAGTCAAATATTCTAGTCGCATTTCAGGTTTGAAAATTATATGTGTACATGCCTATTTACTGGAATAATCTGTACAGTTCAGCACAGTTGCCTGCGGTAACACTTCAATGCGCATGCGCCCATCCTTTCAGCACTCTGTATCAACTTGAACGTTTAACCTAAAGGCTATTGTTGCCATGTAGGGACACATAATAGTCCTATTCAACTGCAGCCAATACACCTGAACTCGCAGTGTTCACGTATACAAGTGAATAAAAGCACTGAATTCTGTATGCGACACGCTGGAAATCAATATTTGCTCTAGAGACAGGACTGTGTCTGCACAACAGCCATTTTATGGTAGTCCTCAGCCCTAAACGGTAAACTGTTTATGACTTTGGATTCGCAGCGTAACACTGGAATTGCGACATGACAGCAGATATTTCACTGACTCTACCGTAAAGTCAGATTGGCGTAGCGGTACTTTCTTCGCCTTCCACCGCTGTGTCCAGGGCTCTGTTCCTGCCCCGTTATGTGGATTGGTTTTTTTT